ATGAAGGAGAGTGGAGCCATAGTAGTTGCTGTCACCTCATAATATTGGCTTGGTAGCCTGATATTCCCCCTAGCTGCTTATCTTGTAGTTGGCATCTTTTGCCATCAGGTGGCAAGTGCTTTGGTCAAGTAGTCAAAAACTCTGTGACATTTTGCCTCAGATCCAAATGAAATTTTTGGTTTTAAGTCCATCTTACATATTTATAACCATCCTTTTTGAAGGATTTTTTAAAAAGGCAATTATTAAGTAATTAACAAAGGACAGCACCAACCAGCCAACCAGTTCTGTGCGAAGCACTGTGGAAGAGTGTTAGAGACAAATACGAAAACAAAGGGAGTCCTTCCCCATCAAGGAGCATACGTTCTAATAGGAGAAATTAGATGGATAGATGGTTAGATTGATAAATATGTTGATATATAGACATATCAATAGATAGAGATAGAGTGGTGGTGGTGGTGGTGGTGGTGGTAGCTGGGGAGAGGGATATTTTGATTTTGAAAGTTGAGGAATGGTGAGTAGAGCCATAAGGAAATAAATTGGTAAACCCTTTTTGGAACAGTGACAGAGTTTTAGGTTATGGTTTCAGACCAAGAGGGGAGGGGTAGATCCTCTTAGGTCAGGGGATATTCAAGCTTGTGGGCTAGTGAGGCAATTGGGGAGTGAAGTGTTTGTGAATCATGGATGAAATCATAATAGTAGGCAACAGTAGACAACCAATCTGAACACAAGAGAGTTAATTCCTTCAGGGCCTGGTCTCTGGTCTGGGCTACATAGTGACTGGTGAGGTGGCTGAGGAGTGTAATTTTAAAAAATCATTTATTAAAGCAACTGAAATTACTGTTAATAAAGTGGATAATTGTATAGGGCAAGCTTTTCATAGAATCATATGATTCTGAACACTCTGAGTAGAGCTCAAATAATCTATGTTCCTGTTTCCTGCCATTTCACAGATAAGGGCATGGATGCGTCAAATGAGTTTAGTGTTTCACAGAGTTAGTAAATGCAACACCTCTTGGAGACTGAGCTTCTTTCCTTCTGTGTCACCCACTGTTACTCCTCTGGCTTCTTCTTCGGCCTCTATCCCTCAAAACCAGTAGCTCTTTGGTAGAAAAGTATCTTTTCTCTCCCTCCTCATGTTCTCATCTCCATATTCCAGTCCCACTCTGCCCTGCTTCATTCTGAACCTCTTTCTCTTACTCTTTCCCATATGTTAGTCCTCACTGACACCTGCATCCCCAGCTGTCCTTTCCAGGACTGGCAGTATTTTCTCTCTCACATCTCCCATCACAATGGTCCTGAGGAAGAAGTGAGATGCTCCTTTCTCCCCATTGTTTACTTCAGGGTGCTCCATTTGCCTCCATCACTAAGTAGCCCTTTCTCTTTTGAAATCAAAACCCACACAATTACAATCATAAGTAGCCACGGCAGAGTTCAGGACCTGGCTCACCGTCTTTCACTACTCCTTCATTCCTGCCCTTGTACTTTGTTATTGTTTGGTCATTTCAGTCATGTCTGGCTCTTTCTGACTCCATTTGGGGTTTTCTTGGCAAAGACACTGGAGTGATTTGCCATTTCCTTCTCTAGCTCATTTTACAGATGAGGAAATTGAGGCAAACAGGGTGAAGTGACTTCCCAGGGTCATACAGCCAGTGTCTGAGGCCAGATTTGAACTCATTCCCCTAATTCAGAAGTCTTCTATTTCCCTGTCTGACTATCCCCTCTTATCATGCCACCTCTCCTAGTCTGTGCCTGTTCCTTATACCCCTTAATACTTTCTTAGGTAACCTCATCTCTAACTTCACTTTCTTCCTTCTCCAGCCTCAACCCATCTCAGCTCTTTACTGTCCCTCACTCATGTATCTCTTGCCCCATTATCTTGTTGCTACACTTCTCTTGCCAAACCTCAGCCCCGGATTATTCCCACCACCTGCTACCTCTGCTCCTCCTCATGAGTGCTGAAAAAAGCTAGAGGAAGTCCCACCGTTGTGTGACTGGGTACATTACAAATTCATGTTATCCAACTTCGACTCTGCCCTCGCTGAAGTTAAGGCAGCTCTTTTATTCCTCCCTATTGGTTCCCTGTCTCACTCCCCTCAGAGAGCTATTCCAAGCCTACTTCCCTCTAAGCACCTCCCCTCACCCCCACCCCAACTCCTCCACCCTGTCCTCTCTGCTGAGGACTTTGTTTTTTCATTTTCTTAAGCTGAGGCCATTCAATGTGAGTTCCTTCTTCCCTTCTTTTCACTTCAAAATCCCTTCGCCAAAACCTCATCACTTCTCTCTTTTTCTCCCAGTCTCCTTCCCAAAGCCATCCCCTCTATGAGTGATCCTCTCCCATCATCCCCTTTCTTGAACCTTTTCTATCAACTTCTTCTGTCCCTGCTACCTTCAGACATATCCAAGTCTCTACGATCCTTAAAAACCCTTGCATCTACCATCCTCTTAATCTCTCAACCTCTCTATCCCTCCTCTAAGCAAAACTTCTTGGAAAGGTTGTTTACATAACTAAGAGAACTATGTGATACCCAAAGCCTTTTTTTCATAGACAAGTAGTCAAAGGACATGAACAGACCGTTCTCAAAAGAACAGCAAACTATTAACCACATGAAAGAAAGAGTGCTTCCAAATTACCAATAATAAGAAAAATGTAAATCAAAACTACCCTGAGTTTTCACTGCACATTCAGTAAATTGATAATGATATCAGACAGAAATAATATATTTTGGAGGGATGTGGAAAGATAGGTGCGTGGATGAATTGTTGGTAGAGCTCTGAGAATCTACTACTAGGAATATACCCCCAAAAAGGCCATTGATAAGAAGAAAGTTCTCATCTATACCACAGTATTTGTAACAGCATTTTTGTGGTAGCAAAGAATTGGAAACCCAGTTGTTGAGCAATGGCTCAACAAATTTGGTGCATGAACACAGTGAAATCTTACCATGCTGTCAGAAACGAAGAACATGATGAATGCAGAGAAGCCCAGAAAGGTTATGTGAACTGATACAAAGTGACCTAAGTAGAACTGAGAGAACAGTGTACACAGTGACTACAAGGACAGCCAGGAGCAACTGAAAATGAATATTGAAAAATAGTGAAGAAGAAATGTGCAGATACCTCCCCCTCCCCCTGCAAAGAGGAGTGCAGATAGTGGGGCTTTTGATGCAGTGATCAATTACGTGAACTTTTTTTCTCTTTCTTCATTTTAAAGTAGGGAATGACTCTTTCAGTAGGGAGGGGAAAGGATACAGGGAAAAATTAAGTAGCATAAAAACAAAAAAGATGAACAAAATTTTAAAAGGAATAGGAAATATTTTCTGCTCATTGCCTCTACTTCCTCTGCTGTCACTCAGTCCTTAACCTTTCACAATCTGTAATCCAACCTAATCATTCAATGGTTCTCTCCAGAGTTACCAATGCTCTTTTAACTGCCAAATCTGTTTTGTTTTGTTTTGTTTTTCTGTCTCTCTGACCACCCTTTTCTCCCAAAGACTTTCTTATCTATGGGTTTTCATAAACCTGCTCTTTCCTGCTTCCCCTCCTGCCTGCCTGCTCCTTCTCTGACTCCATCAGGTCACACACCCTGACTGTGGATATTCCCCAGGGGTCTGTACTAGGCCCTCTCCCTTTTGTCACCATCTGTGGATCTAACTTCCATCTCTGCGCAGACAGTTCCCCTATCTCTATGTCCAGTTCCACTTGTTACCCCAAACCTCTGTCCTACATAACCTGTTGATTGTTAGGCATGTTTTAAATGCAATGTGTCCAAAACTCACTTCATTATCTTTTCTTCTCTCCCAGACTTCCCTGTTTCTGTCCGTGGCACTGCTATCCTTCCATTGTTTTAGGCTTATAATCTAGGCATTATGGACTCTTCACTCTCCCTCATCCCATATATCCAATTTCTGCCTTCACAATATCTCTAATCTGATCCCTTTTCTCTACTCACACAGCTCCTATCTTAATTCAGTCCCTCATACCCTCTCATCTAGATTATTACAACAGCCTCCTAGCTGGTCTTCCCACCTCAAATTTCTTCCCAGTCTCATCCATCCTGCACACTACTACTAAAATAATGTACTTTAAATATAGCAGTGTGTATCCCCTACTCTAGTGGTGTCAAACTCAAATACAAATGGGGATGACTGATCTGTATATAGGATTGCTGCAAGGCTGTGTATTAACTTAGTTTTAAAATGTAATATTATCTATGTTTTATTGCTTTTTATTTATTTTGTTAAATATTTCACAATTACGTTTTAATCTGGTTCAGGTCTTACTCAAGAGTATTTATAAGCCATGTGTTTGATACCTAAGCCCTCAACCCACTCCAATAACTTTGTATTGCCTCTACAGCAAAATATAAATTCTAATGTTTATCTTGTAAAGCCCTTCATAACCTGCTCAAACTAACCATTCTAACCTCAGACAGTGCTCTGCTTCCTGTACTTTGTGACCCTGCCAAACTTACCTTTCTGTACTTCATTCGTAACATTTCATCTCGCATCTCTCTTCCATTGGCTGTCCCCCATGCCTGGCATGCACTCCCTCCATAGCTCTACCCCAGAGAGTACCTGTCATTGTTTAAGTTGAAGCCCAGGTACCAGCTTCAGTATCTTTCTGATCCTCTACCTGTTAGTGCCTCCCTCCCCAACTACTTTGCATTTGGGGGTGTGTGTGTGTGTGTGTATTAATATCATACTTAGGCTGTATCTGCTTTTATGTGTTCTCATCCCCCCAGGAAAAAAAAAGGATGTATTGTTTCATTATTTGTAGTTGCATCCCCAGCACAGTGAACAACACATAGTAGGTGTTTAACAAATACTTGATTGACTGATTGATTGGTGGTGGCATAGCTGTGATTCAAACCCAGCTTACCTGACTCCTTTTCCCATTGTTACATCTATCTCTTTAACCTTCCCATCCCCTTTTCATGACCAATTAGATTAATATTACTCTGTTTGCCTAAAATTTTATTAGAATCCTCTTGTTTAACTCACCCTGAACCCTGCCTTGGAGTCAGACCTTTTGCAGAGTAAGACATGACTTTGAAATGTCAAGCTAAGAAAAGCCCTCGCCATGTCTCTGCTCCAGCCACGGAGGCTTTACCTTGGGGAATCCTCGGAGCTGCCTGCTTTTGCAACAGCTCCCTTGACTCAGAGTACCTTTTGTTTCTTCTTTCTTGGAAGATCTAGAAAAGAGTGAAAATACTCGATAGGACTGGTTAGACGCAGAAGGTGGAGAAAAAGAATATGGATGTCATTGGGAGGAACAGAGAATTCAGACATAGCAGTTGTTCTTGCCTCCTGAGACAGAAGCTGCTGTTGGAGCATTGCAGTCCTCAGGCTTGTTCACATTATCTCCCACCCTCACTCTTGCACAGGAGCACAGAGCCCTGTCCAGACAGACATGCCCCTTTATGCAGATGCTCATTTCCCCTTCCTTGCCCACGATTTTATGAGCATCTTGGCATGATTAATCAAAGTCTAGCGTCTGCTTCCAGTTTGTGTATGAGATGTTGCTTTGCGGTAGATTTCTGACCTAAATCTTTGAAATTGAGCTGCTGATTTTAATTTATGTGAATTGTATGTAAGGGTGGCCATTGGGTTCTGCTTGACAACGGAATTATTCATATTCAGTATCTGTTCCCTACCTGTTATGCCTCTCTAAATACATCAGCACTCATAAATGTGGGAACCCCTGAAAAAGGCAATTAAAGAGTTAGTGTGATCTCAATATATTTTAACAAACTGATGATAGAAGGGAAGAGCTTAGTGATTACTTCAAAACTATACAGTTCCTTAGCACAAGTAACTGGCTTCTCTTAGGTGACCATTTTAGCCAGAAATGAAAAATTATATAAATAATTTGTTAAAGTGTCTTCAAATGGTCTCTTTTTTTTTTCCAAAACTGGTAAAATGTGTTTATACTTGTATGTTCAATACAAGGTATTTTTTGCATGTGAGTACATGTTCATGAGTATGGAGTTGCCTTCATCAATTCACACTAGTGTTGTTTGCTTAAATTACGTCTGATTCTTTGGAAAAACATTCTTCTCACAAGGTATGAGGAGAAAAGTCAGTGAGCAAGATAAATGAATATTTCTGGCTAGGCTATTGGCATATGAGGATTTTGCATGGCAGATAGGCAGCACTGAGGGCTGTTTGCCCTCTCCTGGAGAGACAGGCATGTCATTCCACAGATCTTTCCACTAGTTCTTAAATGTGATTCATCCCAAAATAACCACCGTGGAATCTTACTTCTTGAACTTGCAAAAACAAGGAAAGTTTAACTTAACCTTGACTTTTTCATGAACACTGTAACCAAGGCTAAACATTTCATCATGTCCCATTTTACTGATTGTCTTAAAAGAGCAAGCATTACCCAGACCCTTCTGCTTTTCCTTAGTGGGAACATTCTTAAGAATGAAGTTATAGCCAACTCTGGAATTTTCATCTGTGGATTATCTTCTTGAGGGCCTGCCGAGGGCAGAACTGTTTGTTATTCTTGTACCACTCATCATGGATCTGAATTCCCCTTCCTCATTTAATTTTGGATTCAGATAATAAAGCCATGGGAGATAATGGCTAAAGCACTGAACTTAGGGTCAGGGAGACCCGGCTTAAATGCTGCATTGGGCATTTACTTGCTCTATGACCCTGGCCAGTCACATAACTTTTCTGTGCCACAGTTTCCTCATCTGTGAAATGAGCCAGATAGATTATCAGGCCTCTAAGATCCTTTTGACTTTAAACCTATGACTGTATCAAACCATCTTTTGCACATTTCAGGACTCAGGTTAAATGTACAAGAACATCTGTATTTTGGGGAAGAGAGGGGCAAACTATGTACACACTTTCCAGAGAGAAATCGTGTACCAAAATGAGAAATTATTAGATTATCCAAATTTCTACTCTCAGTTAGTTTAAGTGACTGAAAGATATAAACTGTCCCTACTTTTTGCTGAAATATACCATGTCACAGTGAATCATTGTAGTAAAACGAATTATATTTTCCCTGAGGAATTATTTCAGAACTGTAAATTGTATTGCTGACCAGGACCTTGTCATCAAATAAATCATGAATGTGACCAGTACTATGACATAAAAATAAAAGATAACAACAACCATAAACCTCTGATAATTTAAAATAATGAAAGTATTTTCTAGGTCCTTTAATATAACCATAAATATGCTTGTACCCATTAATTATTCAAGGAGATCTAGTATATAAGCACATAAAAGTAAATTTTAACCATTATAAATTTGGCTTATAACTAATATATACCCAATAATAACCTTTAAACATTTAATTAATAATTATTTGCCTGTTTAGGATTGAGCAGTGCTTTGACAGGATGGTTAGAATGGTCATGGTCTCTTAAATAAAGCCATTAAGAGAAAAGAGTAGTCATTACATTCTTTCTTCTCTCAATTGTGAAAAGCAAAGGAATTGAAAAATATTGGTTGACCTTAGAGCTGTTATCAAAATACCATAATAGCTTGGAGGGGTTTTTTTATGTTTTTCCCATTAAAGAACAGTTTTTAAAGTAAGAGGTGGCCCAGCATTTCTTCTTTTCTCCTCTCTTACCTCTTCAGTGTAGCTGCACAGTATCTAACCTGATGAAATAACCAGGAAACCCTTTAATCTCTCCTCAAGCATCCCCTCCCCATACTTCCATAATTGAGGACCTTGCCTTACCAAAAAATGAGGCTTTGAGCTCAAATGAGACCTTGCCTAGAGCTTTCTCTTCTTGCATCTGCTTCATCTCATTCAGATGGCTTTCACCATATTTACTCTTTCACTCTGTGTCATGTGAAGAGGTAGCCCATCTCCTTGCCATGACAAACCCCTATATATGCATAAATAGTCCCATTCCACCAGCAGCTTGCCACTCTGTCATACCCATTCTGTCACTTATCTTAAGTCTCTCTCTTTCTGTCTGCTGGCTGTTCCTGCTGCCTACAAAAAGGCCATGGTTTCTCTCATCCTTAAAAAAAAAAACCTTTGCTTGCTCTAACCACCGATCCCCACTAGCTACCATCTTTCCTTCCTTTTGTGATTAAACTTGAGAAAACCTCCTACAGTTGGTGCTTCCATGTCTTTTCTTCTCACTCTTTTACATCCTCATCATTCAACTAACACTACTTTCTCTGAAATTATTGGTAATTTCTTAATTCCCAGCTATCATGACCAGTCCTTATCATTCCTGACCTTTCTGCAGGCTTCACCACTATTGACATCCTCTTCTAGATATTCTCTCATCTTAAGGTTTTATAGTACCATGCTCTTCTGCTTCTGTTCTTCCTGCCTGTCCATTCCATCTTGGTGCCCTTTGCTAGATCTTTATGTAGGACATGAATACTAATTGTGGTTATCCCCTACCTCCTTGGCTTTCTCTTTTCCCTGTTTGCTGTCTTGCATGGTGATCTCATAATGTCCCATACTTTCCATTATCATCTCTGTGCAGATGATTCTCAGATCCACTTATCCAGCTCTAAGCTCTCTCCTCATTTCCAGTTTCTTATTTTGAACTGCTTACCAGTAGACTTCTCAAACTCAACATTTTGACAAATGTTGACAAATGACAAAACAAAGCTCATTATCTTTCACCTCTGGGTCATATTAGATTCTTCCCTGACCCCCAACTCACATATCCAATCTGTTGCTAAGTCTTGTCATTTCTACCTTCACAGTATCTTTCATATACATCCCCACTCTCCACTCCTGTAGCCGCCACATTGGTGCCATGCCTTGGCTATTGTAATAGCCTTGTAATTGACCCTCCAACCTCAAGTTTCTCCCTATTTTAGTCCATCTTTCACTCATTTTCTAATGATCTTCCTAAAGGGCATATCTGACCATGTCCCCCCATCTGCCTCTTCCACACACAGTGAACCCTTGTGGTTCCCTGTTAATCTCCAGGATCAAATGTAATATTCGATTTGTCTTTTAAAACCCTTTGCAAGTTGTCCTGCTCCTTTCTTTCCAGTCTTTACTCCTCTCTATTTAGTCTGTTAACACTGGCCTTCTTCTGGGTACACAGACTCCTAACTCTGCATTTTCATTGGTTGTCTTCTTTGCATGGATCCTCACCTCCATCTTCTGGCTTTCCTGGCTTCCTTCAAGACTCTGCTCAAAATCCCACCTTGTGTAAGAGGCCTTTCTCCCCCCACCCCGAAGGCCTTCCCTCTGAGGCTACCTCCTATTTGCCCTGTTTATACCTTGTATGTACATAATCTTATATGTGCTGTCTGCCCCCATAGTGTGAGCTCCTTAGTGTAGAAATGGTTCTTTCTTTGTGGACTTAGTGACTAACATATATCAAGAGCTTATTAATGCTTGTTGACTAACTTTTTTGGTTATCCTTAATGCTACAAATCTTACTTGATACTCTGTGGGCCATTATCAACATATTTCAAACTTTATTGAAAAGCTACCTCTCAAAAATTACAGACTTTTATGTTTTTTTTTAACCAAGGCTGTTCTGTCATAGCATTGCTAAGATAAACATTTAAGATTATATCCTGCAAGGCATTTCTACTTTCTTTTATTCAGACATTGACAAAAACCTATAATCAAATTAGCAAAACAATGTATAAGCTGTTTAAAAAGTTACATAGCTGTATCAGTAGAATACAAAGTAGCAGCAGATAGGTGAGGATTGCAATCCTTATGGGCCAGAAGCAGACTGGGGATAATGGGCAATTAGAAACAATTTGAGACTTCTGCTATAAAGATAAAAAGCAGAGTAGGAAAAAAAGGGGAGAATGAGAAAACCCCAAATACCTTGCCCACCTGTATACTCAGTCAAGTCAGTAAACATTCATTAAGCATCCGCTCTGTGCGTGACCCAGTGTTAAGTTCTGGGTATACAAAGAAAGGCATAATATAGTCCCTGCCCTCAAGAAGATCCAAATCTAATGGGGGAGACAACACATTTAAAAAGAAAGCTGAAAGGGGAGAAAGGAGATTACCCAGGGGGAACACGATAAAGTCCTTTAGTCAGGGTGGGATGCGATCTGAGGAGGTGAGATTTACAGGGTTTATTTCATCTTCTTTTTCGGGGGTGGGGTGTGGAGCAGGAGGGTAGGAGGGAGGCAGTCAGGGTTAAGTGACTTGCCAAGGGTCACACAGCTAGTTTCTGAAGTCATATTTGGTTTTTGTTTGTTTGTTTGTTTGTTTTTGGTTAGGCAGTGGGGTTAAGTGACTTGCCCAGGGTCACACAGCTAGTAAGTGTTATGTGTCTGAGACTGGATTTGAACTCAGGTCCTCCTGAATCCAGGGCCAGTGCTCTATCCACTGCGCCACCTAGCTGCCCCCCTGAAGTCATATTTGAACTCAGTCCTCCTGACTCAAGGGCCAGTGCTTTATCCATTGTGCCATGTAGCTGCCTCTAGAGTTGATTTCATCTTGCAGAATGATGGATTTCTAGAGATCAGAAATAAAATCGGGGAGGTCAGCAGGAAGGGAAATGATGACAAGTAAATAACCTGAGTGCCCCCATTAAAAGATAAAAGATAAAGGAGGAGCTCCTCAGTGTTAAAAATCTCCACCCTTTCCAATAAGAGGAAAGGAGAAACCCAGGGGCAGAGGTGTTGAGGAGGTATGAGCTTCAGAGTTGATTTCATCTTGCACTGAATTCTGGCAAGTATTTAAAAGGCTATAAATTTTTGACTAATCTTTTAAAAGCTTTTTTAATCCTAGAATTTAAAAAAATTATGTCTTCCTGAATTTTCAGACCAAATAAGAGAAATAATATTATATAATACTACTCAGCGTATACAAGTCGTTTGTTACAAGTGCGATTTTGATATGAAAACACTCAGGACATACAGATAACTTTGTAGTGTTTCCTTCTTCCTCTCCTCCCATCTCAACTTTTTGGGCAAGTTGGAGGTTTTAACTAAAGAGAATATGACATTTGCAGATTTCCTTTTATCTTTCGTTTCTTTTGTTTCTCCCTATTCACTTCTCAGGGATGTTGCAAAATTAATTAGATGTTAAGACACTACCTTCTTAGAGAAAGGTGGTAAATAAATATGAGGTAGGATTAAAGACTTGGCTAAAAAAATTAGAGTAGGAGAATCATCTTGAAGAGTTGTATAAGACACATAAACAGTAAGACAAATTAACACCTTTAGATGTCTAAGCCTAAGTAAGATTCAGTGAAAGACAAAAATCAGAATAAATTATTAAAAATTTAAAAATAAAGATTTTAATTCTAGGGATTAAGAACTTCTGAATGTATTCTTTAAGTTTGACAGAGGCAAATATTCTACTTTTCAGAATGGGAAGAGAACAGAGTCTGCCAACTGTAGGCCAGTAAGCTTGATTATTCAAACATCTTTAATTCAGGTGCCACCATGGCTCTTTCAGGTCATGCTAGACTCAGCTAATTTCCTTTTTTGACAAATTACTAAACCAGCAGATTAGAGAAATGCTATGGGTATAGTTTTCTAGATTTTTGCATAAATTTTGATAAAACTTCTTATGTTGTTTTGTTAGTTGTGTCCAACTCTTTGTGACCCCATTTGGGGTTTTCTTGGCAGAGATACTGGAGCAACGTGCTGTTTCCATTTCTAGCTCATTTTGCAGATGAGGAAACTAAAGCAAACAGGATTAAGTGACTTGCCCAGAGGCACACAGCTAGTAAGTGTCTGAGGCCAGATTTAAACTGAGGTCTTCCTGACTCCAGGCCCAGCCTTCTATCTGCTGTGCCACCTAGCTGCCCTATTCCGTACTATTCTTACAGAAAATGTGGAAAGATAAAGATTAGATGATAATGCAGTCAGACAGATTCATAACTGGTTGAATTCTGGACTTAGAAAATAGTTATTAATGGTTCTCCTTAGCAGGACGTCTCCGGTGAAATATACAAGAGATCTCTGCCCTTTCTCAGTGAGTTGGATAACGGTATAGATAATGTACTCATGAAGTTTGCAGAAAACACAAAGGTAGAAGGGATATCATTGAGGACAGAGTCAAGATCTAAATGATTTTAATAAGCTAGAACAGTAGGGTAAATCATTAAGATTAAATTCAATAGGGATAATACAAAGTCTTGCTCTTGGGTATGAAAAAACAAGTCTACAAATGTAATATTGGGGAGGCCTGGTAAGACAGCAGCTGTTCTGAAGAAAATCTGGGGCGGCGGGGTTTGGGGACCTGCAAACTCACTATGAATCCTCAGTGCGGTATGGCAGCCACAAAAGCTAATGTCGGCTTGGGCTGCATTAGGAGAGGCAGTACTTGCAGGAATAGGGAGGGCACAGTCTCACTGATCCCTGCTTTTGTCAGGCCTCCCCTGAAGCATTGTGTTCTCGTCTGGGCGCTGTGGTTTAAGAACAGTGATGATCAATCTAGGTGAGTGTCCAGAGAAGGACAAGCAGGATGAGGGGCATTGGTTCCCTGGTGAAGATTGGTCAGAGGAACTGAGCGTGTATAGCTTGGAGAAAAGAAGCCTGAAGGAAACATGAGAGCTGTCTTCAAGCACAGGAAGGTGCCATCACATAGAGAAAGGATCAGACTTGTCTTGCTTGGCTACAAAGGGCAGAACCAAGAATAGTGTGAGGAAGTTGCAGAGAGGCACATTTCAGTTCGATGTAAGGTGAAACTTCCTGACAATTAAACTTCTTCCCAAATAGAATAGGCTGCCTTGAGAGGCTGTGATGGCCCTTTCTTTGGGCATCTTCAAGCAGAGGCTGGCCAGCCATTTGTGGAGTGTGAGATAGTAAGGATTTCTTTTGTCCGTGTAAATGGGTTGAAGGAGATGTCCATGGAGGTCCCTTCAGCCTTTCAGATTCTGTGATTCTGTCCTGATTTTTCCCTTGGTTTTACGTATCATTTTTTTCCTTAGTAAATTAAAACTTTCTATTTTTGAAAGTTGGTAAGAGAGATAGATTTTGTATGGAAACAATTATAAATGAAAGGAGTATTATTAACTATTAACATAGTAAAATAAAAATATGTATTGCTCAGAATAATAGTTTCTAGTCACTCCCTTTTGCTTCAGGTCTCTAATTTGGGCATAATCCTAAGGGAGACCCCTACTTTCTTCCTCAGTAGATGGATCCAAATGTTTCTTTTTTATGGTTAATAATTCCCAAAGACTAATCATGTGGGGTTTTTTAATTTTACTTTGAGAGTTTGTTTTTTTTTTGATACATAAGAATGCCCAGGCCTTTTTGAAAACTTCTGTCACCCATTTTAGTAGGTAGTTACATTACAATTTAATTTTTTTTTTGCTAATTGCAAATAATTTCTCAGGGTCATTATTTTGAGTGTCTAGCTAAAAGCTTCCATTTCCTATCAATAATCGACAAATTATTATTAATCAATGGGGACTCAGTACAAAAA